GCAATCGGGAGCTCAGGTGTGGAAAAGGCCTGTTATCAGGCACTGGGCATTGGATGAGTTTGATGTCTTACTAGACTTCCAGGTATGAAAATAGACTAAATGTTGACCCTTGGACAGATGAGTAAAGGTCATAGGAGTTCTAGGTTGGAGGTTGCAAAACTAGTTGGAGTTGTCAGTTGTATAGGTTGAATTGCTAACCACAAGCTGGATATGAATAAGAGGAAGACTTAAGAATCCACTGCTGATTGCACTGGATCTTGAAAGATCATAGGTATTTTGGACCAGAGCAGTTTGGGGATCATTGCAAAAACCCTTGGAGGTTTTCGTCCACAACTTATTTGGTGCACGGGAAGTGACTTGTGCTAGGTCAAGGTTACTTGGTGTATGTGTGTTGTCCTTTCTAGTGTGCTACGGTTGCTTCTCTAGGATTTTTTTTTTTCTTTCTTTCTTTTTTTTTCTGACCTTCCAGTTTCAGAGACTTTTTAGTGGAATTTGGGCAGCTGTGGTTGTGGTGACCAAAAGGCTAGGAACCAAAGAAACTGAGGGCAGGCCTCTAGGTCTCTCTCCTGTACCTTTAATTGCCGCAGCCCTTTCTGCAAACACAGACTTCATCAAGATCCTCAAATAGGCAGCAGATAGTGAGGAGGACCTTGGAAAGGACACTGGAAGTGGTGTTGGAGGTCCTCAGGGGTGAGAAATGCCAGACTACAGCATGTCTGGACTCCTGTTAAATGCTGATGAAGATTTGTTACTAATCAGTATGTGTGTGTGTGTGTAAGAGAGAGAGAGAGAGATGGGGAGAGGGGAAGGTTGACCATAGGAGTGGCGTGGGAATTGTTGGGGGAACTTATCAGAGGTCCTTCCTCCTAGGTACCAATCCTTCTCTCTAGTTTTCAGCAGGGCTGACACTGGGGGTGGGTACAGTATAATTATGACTTATTTTGTGACCTGTACAAATCTTGTGTAAAGATTTTAAAGCAGTCTCCTTTCCTGGGAGCCCCGCAAATATTTTTGCCTTACTGGGATTTATAACTGCTCCCAGGGTACCTGGTCTTCATTTCCATAGTTGAAAAATGAGGACAACAAGCACCATGATCACCACCTTACAGCACCACCTGAGGACAGAGTAAGATGACATGCACACAGTTGTTATTATGTTCCAGTTCTGTTCCTGTTCCCAGCTTGCAGCTGCAATGCCAGAAAGGCCTGGAGCTGATGGCAATCAGCAGGTGGGCAGCTAAAGGAGCAAGGAAGCCTGGCTTTATCCTCATTGGACAGGCTATAGTGCAGGATCCCATCCACCTTGGAGCCTAGCATTTTAAGGGAAGAGTCAGGCTCCCATAAGGCTCCTCGTATTTGATGGGTGAATTTGGATAGCTCTTGACCGCATGCTAAGATGGGTGAACCCAGAGTCTGAAGCTGATATATAGTAACTTGGTCAAGGGATCCTTGTTCCCCAAACCAACCAGACTGGCAGCTTGTTTGCTCAGTCCTCTAGCCTACTAGTAGGAAAGTCCAACCATCAAGTTGGGGGAGAAAGGTCTGGATTTGATTGATGATGGTTGGGTGGGGGGGGGGTTGGAAGGAGAAGGAGGGAGGCAGGGGCCAGCTCCAGCATGTCTTGTCCTCCTCTGAATATGTTGATGAATAACAGATGTACAGTTTCTAGAGACATACCAGTAAACTGCTTGCCACCAGAATTGTTTTCATTTAAAACTTGTGCTGATGTGGTCTACATTGGTAGGGCTAGATGTGGGGGATGGAAAGGGAGAGCGATGACACAAAGTTATTATGTATGGAAGACCTGCATTGTTTGCATTGTTTTTTGAAAGCCTTCCTCCAAAACAAATATTTAAAAGAAGAGAAGAGTTCAATATAGAGATAGACTTTATGCTTAGATCCCTAGGTCTGTGATACTCTTAAGAGGATCCCACATGTATTTATAGATCCATGTGTGCCTGTTTCACACACACACACACACACACACACGTTTCCCTTTTCTTTCCTTTTTTGTGGTGCTGGGATCAAACTCAGGGTTAGAACATTCTGGGCAAGTGCTCTTCCACCAAGCCACACCCTCATCCCCTGGTCAGTTTCTTCTTAGATGCTTTTAAGTTGGAAATACAATTCATTATTTAATCTCTTCTTTGTTTCTTTTGATCTCCATACCTCCAAAAGCCCAGCTTTCCTTCCTAGGAGCAGAAGAGAACACAGAGAGAGACTCAGAGGCTGAGTTTCAGGATGAGCCTCCAGGGCTTCTGTCTCAAGGCAATTTGTCCTTTAGTCTTTTACTTCTAAATCTTGTCTCCCTGCTAGACTGTAATCTGTGGAAGCAGGAAATGGACTTCTATTTCTTGCTGTCACCCCCACCAGACCTTAACCCAATGTTCCAGACACAAACCTAGTTTATGCCCAGGCTGGCTTAGCTGGTAGAGGACACTGGGTGGACAGTGTGGGGACATTCAGCTGCATAAACAAGAATAAAGAGAACTGTGTCCAACCTGGCTCATCTGCAAAGCTGGCTTCATAGTTGCCACTTCAAGGTGGAGGGAGCTGCTGGACATGCTGCCAGTCCCAAATTTGGAAGCTGTCTTTTGTTGCTGTTGGAGGCGATGACCTCTCTCCTCTTTCCCTCCCTCCTTCCCATGGTCCCTGGACTAGGGAATGCCCTGGGGGGACCCTTACTGCCAAAACAAGAAAGCACAAAACAGCACAGATCTGAGTTACAGGGAGAAACTGAAGCAAATAAAGACATATTAATTCACAAACCAAATAGGCGAATCTGGGGTTGGCCAACGATTTAACTTGGAAGGACTTTGTGAATCTATTTGGGAGAGCAGAATGTTATTTAATTTTAGTTCAGTGTTATGAAGTTTTGTTTTTGTAAGGAAAATGCTGGCGTGGCTTTGACCCTTGGCCATCTCTGCCTCAATCCTTCTGGACCATAAACACCAAGTGTTTGACTGGTCTTGCTAGGCAGTTCATGGACTGTGTGTGGGTGAAGAGATGGGATGGATAACCATGATTGAGCAGGTTCTCCAGGCCTGAAAAGACCTTGTACACTTGTTCTGACCACTTCATGTATTCCCCCACCTCTAAGAATATTTTAATGAGTTTCCCTTTGTTTCATCCCAACAAGAACTCCCAAGCCTTAGCATGTAGTGCTTCATGATGGAGCACAGACAAATAGCAGAGACATTGTGGTAGTGGTGGCAGCACCGATAAAACACTAATAGCAAACACGTGGGCTTGGGATGGACTACACTGTTCTCAGTGATCGTACTTAACCCTCACAACAACTTTGTCAGGTATTGTTATCGTTCCTGTTTTTACAGATTAAGAAAGTAAGGCTCAGAGAGGTTTGGTAATTTCCCTAAGGTCACATGATACTAATGCTAGGATTGAACCCAGGCAGTCAGGCTCCAGAGTCCAAGTTCTTCATGTTGTAACAAGTATATATATTATTATCTGATATGCTAATAAGTATATCGCTTGTAAGCCACATGAGAGGCATTGGACCAAGAAAGAGAGATTTATGAGGAAAAAACCCCAGGGAGGCCACACAGCAATGGAAGGGACCTAACTCTATTGTAACTTCCTGATTACAAAAGCTTACTGTTTTCACTAAACTATTCTCTGATAAAGAGGTTGCAAAGCCATTTCAGAGTAAAAAAAGAGTTGGCTGGTTTTATGTGCAGAAGCTTCCAGAAGTACCCAGCTTTATGGGGCAGGACTGCATAAGACATGTTATGTCTAAATCAAGTCAAGCCATTTTCAAGCCAGGAAAGGGTAGGTGCTGTTATTTGCTTTTTTCCCTAGGGCAGAGCCTCACTTCCCAGATTACCTTCCATGATAATGAAGCATCAGAAGATGAGGTCAGATCAACTCAGAGAGCATCATAGTGAAATCTTGGCAGACCTGCTTTCTGCCCAACAGTTCAATTGTGACAACCTGCCCATGGGGCTGGTGTAGAGGAATTGGTCTCTGGGGCTTCTGGGAGGATGGCTCGCTGCCAAAAATGCTGTTGCAAAGTGAGACACAGAGGTGGAGGCAGAAACTTCGGGAAGGTTGGCCTGGGTTCTTGCCAGCCTCTCATTTTTACAGCAGACTTGGAAACAACCACTTGCCTCCTCCTCATTTGAGCTGCCTCAGTTCAGTTGCTGACTTTGCCAATGGACTCTGTTTTGCCATCCTTGGCAAGCAAGGTCCAGAGGGGCCATGGATTCATCTAAGTCCTGACTTCATGTCTGACTGGAGGGTAGGATTCAGGCTTATGTGGAAAGGGAGCCAATGGGGATGGGGAATTGGTTCCTAGTAAAGATTTAAAAAAAATAAAAAAGGAGATAAGAGTCAAAGAATTTGGAAACATTGAGGGACAGCCACAGTGGGAAAGAATAAGGGCACTACCAGAGTGTGTGTGTGTGTGTGTGTGTGTCGGGTACTCTGTTTAGCAAGCGTTTCTTGTGTATCTACTAAAAAGTGGAATGAGGGTGTGTTTAAAGTCAATATTTGAGTGAAGTGCAACTCGAAATAGTCTCTTACAGCTGGAAGAGTTCAATTTCAACTAAAACCAAGCAAATCCCACTCCATTCCTGTCAAGGTACTGGTGTGGAAACCTCTACTCTGTTCTTACAGCAGTACCCCCTTCAATCCCCTTCCTTTTCTGGCTAGTTCTTGTTTTTAGTGACTTCTTTGACTAAGCCAATGAATGTTACTCTGGAATTTCTGGTTTTCATTTTCAAGACCTGGCTATTTACTTCTCCACGTGCTGACTTTACAAGTCCTTGAAGAGTACTCTTGGGTGCTTCTTTACATAACATAGAAAGAGAAGGCACAGCCTCTTATAATCTCAAAGTCCTCTCTGTCAGTTTCCTTATCTACATGACATGGTTGCCAACACTGCCCTTGTCAGGTAGCTAAGAGGAGAATGCAAATGGAATGACTACTACACATAGTATGTGTGCATTAAATGGAAGCTCTTTTTATTCTAACAGTCCTTCCATAGTTGGTCCATTCCACTTTTGGTGAGGATGATTTCAAAAACGTTTATTTAATGAAAACTACATCCAAGACGAGGTCAAGTTTCTTATGCATCATCTCCCCTAATTCCTTCAGGACATCAGACCACTATGATTACTGTTTTATAGAAAGCTACTTCCTTGCCTCCAGTTACAACTGCCATGAACAGTGGGGCTGGGATTGGTACTGCTCAGCCTGATTCCTGAGATCCCACACCCACCAGTCCTAGGTTCCCATTGAACTAGGTTCTGTTGCATCGCTTGTTAACTAGGTGCTGGGCACAGGGACCTAGCAGAATGCTGTCAGGGGCACTGAGAGAGCTGGGGTGGATCACAGCCCTATGGATGTGTCAGGACATGGAAAATTTTACATATGCCAAGGAAGACTTCTGGTTGAAGTTGAGGTTGGGGTTAGGAAGGGCATCCTGGGGGTGAGCTGGCCAGCCCTGAGATGATACTTTCAATGTGGTTCAGGCCTTCATAACCTCCTCCTTGTCTTTCTTTTGACACTCTCTTCTGCAGTGATCCGGGCCAAGGTAGTGGGAAAGAAGCTGGTGAAGGAGGGGCCCTTTGGCACGATGGTCTATACTATCAAGCAGATGAAGGTGAGTGATGTCATTACTGGCTCCAGCAGGAATCCTGGGTTTTTGCCAGAAGAGTTGTGGCCAAAGAAGGTCCAGTGGTTGGAACTGGGATGTGTGTTTGCTCAGTGTTGAAACCCCAGCCAACCCAGGAAGCTGCAGCGGCAGCAGGGAGAGAAGGTGGCTGCTTGACCCGGAGCCAGTGCAGGTGGAGTCACTCAGAGGCTTGTTAGGAGGCTGAACTCTGGATCCAGATGGCAGATAGCTTTGTTATTCAGTAACCCTGTGATCTTGGTCCAGTCACCTTTCTCCTCTGGCCTTAGGCTTTCCAGTTGTGAAATGAGGGTGGACCATATGGTCTCCATGGGCCCATGCGAGCTCTGATTTCTGGAATTCAGCAGTGCCTACAGGTCCCATGCAGTTGGTGAGGCTATGCTGAAGGTCTAGACCCTTCAGATATTCACTTTGAAACTGTGCTGAGCACAGGAGCCTCATCCCCAGCCCTCTTCCCTCATTTCCCCAGGGTCTTCCTGCATCTCTCCTCTAGTTAATCAAAGCTTGCTAACCACTTTCACATCATTAAACCTGTCCCTAAAACTCTAAACAGCTTAGAATGATGCCTTAAGAAAAAACATTAAAATCTGGAGAACCTGAATCCTAGTCCCAGCTCTGCTTCTAAACAGCTTGCTGACTAGGCCTTGTTCCTTTTCTTGGGCCTCTGTCTTGCCATCTTAATAGTGCAGGGTTGGGCTTGGTACCCCTAAGCCCTTCCAGCTCATGGATTTGAGGTAAGCCAGGATGCTGGCTGTGTCACTTCTAAGCAGAAGCTGGTGGTGGCTGCTGGGAGGGTATACTTATGTTTGCCTCTGCACATCAGCCTTGGGTTTAACTTTGGATCACTCAGTAACCCGTCCACCCCCTCTTTTATAAGCGCCTCCCTACATGCAGAGCTGGGGAACCCCTGAGGAAGTTCTACCTTAGGATACAGTCAGGCTGGGAGAGAAAAGGCGAACATGACTAGTCAGAATCTCAAGGTGGCATGTGCTGAGGTCCATGTGAACTGCCAGTTTTTTTACTTGCTGGTCATATTTGTACCCCAGCCATCAGGGCAGGACTGTCATGCCATACATACTTGTTGAATGTTTGCCCATCTAATGGGGAGTGAGGGTGAGCCCACAGACTTAAAAATTCCCCCAGAGAAGACAAGCCTTACTGCTTGTCTTACAGGTGGATTTGAGTGTGTGTGTGTGTGTTTTGGGGAGGGGAGTTGACAACAGCCCATGTGTGATACCCAGCCATCCTGGAGGCTGACCTCCAGGCGTTATTATTCTTGTCCTATGGCCTGAGGCTGGATGGACCAATTTTGTGGAACCTGTTGCTTTGGATTCAATTTTGGAAACATCCACAGCCTTCTGGTTATGTAATGTCCAGAGTCAGCCCTGGCCAGTTGCCCTTGGCTGCCCGAGCTTGGTCATGAGACCAAGCTTATGTCTTCAGATGGCCCTGGGGAGAGGAGAGTGGGCAGAGGTGGGGAATGAACAAGAGCAACAACAACCCAAAAAACCCACTTTGCAACCTCTGGCAGCTGGTGAAGGAATGCCTGAGCTTTAGACCAAAGCAAAGGCTCTGAAAATACATCCCCCGCCTGTTCTGTGACAGTCCTCACGATTGGACACTTTGTGGCCAGCAGGGAGCTGCAAGGGAAATAGCTTTGGAGGCAGGAATTCCTAAGCCAGCCTAGCTTCCCTCCTACCTTTGAACCTGGAAGCCAGGGTGACCTGAGACCCTTCCTGAGGGCACAATTGTCCCATTCCCTCTTGGCACTGTCAGACCAGTCAGCAGGGCTGTTTAGAAGCCAGGTAACATTTGCTCACCCATCAGCCTCTGAGGCACCACTCCCGGCTGGCAGGCTGAGGATCTCAGTTCATCTTTCACCTAGGTTCATTGTTGTCAGGGGTTTGAGCATCAGACCTAAAACTCTTCATTTTACTTCTGGCAGAGGCTCAAAGGGGAAGTTGATGTGCTCAGAGTTAGGTATTTATGTATGGGCAGATTTCATTCCTGAGCTGAGGTATTGGGATCTCTTCCCAATGCTATGCATTCTTTACATGACTCCCTACATCTCTCTGCCATCTTGCTTTACTCTAGCCACATCTTATGTCTTTTATGAACGTTGACTCTCCTTCTGGCTCAGTATTGTGACCCACAAAGCTAGTCAGTGCCTTTCTAAACAGAGAGGTTACCTGCCAATCAGAGCCCATCCATCTGCCCCCACTCCTTTTCCCACTTTCTCTGTGTTTAGCACCAGGCAGTGAGCTTGGGTTATAAAGATGATGCTTGTCACAATTAACATAAGACTACAGCCAAATAACATTTCTTGAGCGTTTGCTATGAACTCAACATTCTAGTAAGCCTTTACATAGATCAGCCTCAAACCATCATTGTAAAATAGATACACATTATCCTCTACATGGTGAAGCCACTGACATTTGGAAAGTTATGGAACAGTCAAGATCCTACAGCTGGAAACTGGCAAACCAAAGCAAAACTCTAAAGTCTTCACCGTAGGGTCTCTGAGGACAAGGAGGTAACAGAGCAGTGGGCAGCAGGTTAATTCACCATTTCCACATAGTTTGAGGGTACTCTTCATCCCCTTGTGTCTAGTCCCTCAGGTAGAAACTGGAGGTCAGCTTGGGTTTGTTGGTGTGCGATCTAGCTGCTAGCTCTTGATGTGCAGCCCGCCAAAGGTGTGTGAGAAAAGTCTTTGGAGGAGAGAAGTGGCAGAGGCCTGCAGGAGGTTGGCACTGCTCCCTGGCAAGCCTTGTTCTTGTGGATTGGAGTCTACCCCAGAGCATCAGGAGGGGAAGCCAGTCCTCCCCTTGAGCAGGACTGTGAGAATTTAGAACATAATTATGAACCCCAGTCTTGTTGACCTGATGACAGGCACAGACCCTCCCGTCTGCTAACTTCACAGCCACTCACTCTCTGGCATGCCCTGAGTTTGCAGAGACCCCAGCTGTGTTGGTGAGGAGGCAAGGCTGCTAGGATGTTGAAGGAGCTGACTACAAACCCACACTTGGAGATTAGCTGGGGCTGAGCCATGGTGCAAAGGTGGAAGTTTCCAGAATTAGCCACTGTCATCTGCAAGGACCTTATCTCCCATCGGGACCATGGGAAAGCAGTCCACTTTGCCAGAGCTGTTGTTTGTGCAGTAGAGACATGCTCTCAGGCAGGCTGCAGAGAACAGCATGTGGGGGACATTATGTCCTAGCAGGTCCCAGGAGGATCACAAGGGGACGTGTGCTAGTCATGTGCTTTGCATGTCCTGACTGTGGGCAGAACAGATCTGCTGGGCAGTTGCAATGCTTGGCCTGTTGCTTGGTGTTTGTCTAATCAAATGAGCAGCAGCAGGATTTTGCCTTTGCAGCTTCAGCTGGAAGCCTCTCTGACCCCCCAGCCCACCCTCAGGGAACCACTCTCCTCCTCCCAAAGCTTGAGGCTCTTTATAGTGTAAGACTCCTACCTTGCCCTCATCAGGGACTGACTCCATTTTCACAGGCTCTGTGTGCTATCCAACCACTCTAAAAGAAGCACCTTGTACTTCTTATCTCGGTCAGGTGCCTAATGTCTCCAGACCTCAGTTCCTAGGTCTGTAAGAGTAAGTCGTGGATTTAAATAAGTTCAGGATGTAAACCAGCATCCTGCACAGTGGTCACCTTTGGCAGGCACGCAAACAACATCTAACTTCTGGGTCGTCCTTCATGCAGTCCAGAATGAAGGTCAGACTTTTCATCAAAGCATGCAAGTGGCCCCGGACTCAGAAACTTCTTTCATACATGATTTGCCCCTGCAGGCCAAGGGAAGCTAACTTCTGGTGCTTTGTGTAGAAACCACCAAGAAGAGGAACTCTGAGGCATGCAGAATCCAGCTGCTTCCATCTGAGGCTCTGAAGCAGCTTGGACACTACTTCTGCTGAGGGATGAGGTTGGGCAAAGATACTCGGAGAAACTCCTCACTTCTCTGAATGGCAGTGCCAAGTGCTATTCCAAGACATTTAGTTTTTAAAACCACCATAGGAAGTAAGTGCTTTGCCCCATTTTACAGATGAAGAAACTGAAGTCCAAAGAGGTTCAGATACTTTCCAAGTGGCTAATAAGTGGCAGGGACAGATTGAAAGCCCAGCTGTCAATCTCTAGAGCCTGCATCACGTCATGTCCTCTGTGATGTTGCTTGGATTAGGTGACCTTTAGCATCCTTACCTATTCTAAGATTCTATGATTCTCCCATTTTAAGACATTATAAAACTATTCTAAACCACCTAAATTTGTCAAACCAATTCAAAATCTCTATGATTGCAGACATAGTGATACTTTTAAGATCCATAATTTGATCAAGAAATGATTATTATGAGAAGACAAAAATGAATAACGTCTACCTTTACCATATCGTTACCTTCAGAATTGACTCCAGCACGCAGTGTTGTGTTTCTTAGACCCAAGCATCTATAATGTAAAAAACAAATCCTCCCCTGTGCAAGTTATAGCAGCAGTGTTAAAACACAGGCTCTGTCAAATGTCAAAGTTGTGGGGATGCCCCACTGATTTAGAAGAGTCAAGGTCCTACTGCACACTTCAAGTCACTGGACACCCAGAAAGCAGAGACATGGCAAAGGAGAAAGACTAACACAGAATGAACTGAGTTTCTGATAGTCTGGACCCCAAAGACCTAGAGCAAGTCTTAGGTGAAACATTTGCCAGAACCTCAAGGAACATTTATACCGCAGTGAGAAGTTGCTGGGCACCAAAGTCAGAGCGAATGCTCCTTGTGTGCTGTACACAACAGTGTGCACACAGCATATGTAAACATGGCTCCTGTTGAGCCTGAGCGGCACTGTCCAGCAAGTGAGCATGGCCTGACACGTGCTCCCCTGTGGTGTGACTGAACTCCAAGTGTAGAGAGCACTTCTCAAACTGTTTTGCTGCATTGTTTCCTTGTTCTGTTGACAAGCCCTGGAGCTGGAGGAGAGGGGTCCAGGAGAACACCATCCAAATCCACTAGAACAGCGCACCTCTTTATGAAGGCAGAGGCTCCCAGACTCTCTAGGTTCAATAGACAGCCTCATTGATGGTAAAGGTCCTGTGGACCATCCACCCCTACCAGCCAGTCATAACTTAAAAGAAGATGAGGAGAAAAAAACAGCCCATTAGTCTGAATAGGAGACATTCGTGAGGCACCAATGAGGTGATGTCTGGCTTTGTATTAATTTCTATTAAAAAATTAATAACGCATGCCAGCGACTAAAGTAGGGGCATTGTCCTGCTATAAACACTTGGGACAGGCCCAGTGACCACTGCCATCCAGGGCTTATGTACTCTGAGAACTGGAAGGACAATAGGATTGGGCCATGCCTGGGGCACCACTCCACCCTACCCCACTCACACAGTTAACACTGTGGCCTTGGCAGATCAGGTCTCTGGGACACTTGTAGACTTGACCTGGAATCACAAAGTGGACTCAGCCTCTGTGACAGTCACGCCAGGCATTCTGACCACACACTGTTAAAGGAGCCACAGGAGTCACAAATGGAAATCCGGAGACCAGCAGAAGGCATTTGCTGTAGCTGATATCCCTGGCCCTGAGCTCCCAAGGCTGTAGGGAAGATGGCGTAGGATGCTGGTTAAGATTCTGACTCTTGATTCCCTTATTTGAAATTTTCGCTCTGCTATTTACCAACTGTGTGGCCTTAGATGAGTCACTCTACCTGCCTGTAGCTCAGGCTCTGTATCTGAAAAATGGGTACCATGGCCTCATAGGCCGTCCAGGAGACTCAGTGAGCTCATATTGCAGCAGTCTCCTGACCATGGTACTGTTGCCATTTGGGGACAGATACCTGTTTGTTCTGGGGACTGTCTTGCATATTGTAGGAGTTTTAGCAGCATCCCTACCTTCTAGCCACTCTTGTGACAACCAAAAATATCTCTTGACATTGCTAAGTATTGCACATGCTTCCAAGGGGGGCAGCCTTGCCTCCAGTAGGAGCCACTAGCTTATGGTGTACATTGAAAGGGCCAAGCATCAGCGATTTCACATGGTTCAACTTACTCATCATTAAGCTGAGTTTTGTATCCATGTTTATGTGCTTCTTCTAGAGTGAAGGTACTCAGTGCCTTCACCAGATGCTCAGAAGAGCAAAAAACATGGAGGATGCCTGGCCCAAGTTCACCAAATAGAATTTCTGTCAGACTCCTTGTCTTAAAAATGTTGTTTGTGTGCCTACTTCCTTAGGCTCTTATGAAGACACTATAAGTGAGAATGTTGTTCTGTATACTGGCAAGTGCCACTGATGTCACGTGGAGGCTGGCTGGCCTCTCGGGGCTTAGGTGGACAAGGCAGGAGGACCTTTTTCATAGCAACTTCTTTGGATATCTGAAAAGCTGTTGGATTCGAGAAATGTGTAGGTGGAAAAATGTTGTGGGGCAGTTGGATGAGATGTGGTGCCCATTTTTCAGATACAGGGCCTGAGCTACAGGAAGGTAGAGTGAAATGTGTAGGTGGAAGAGTGTTTTAGGCAGTATGCCTGGTGGGGCAGGAAATGCTGCTTGGAAGGGATCAGAATGGCTCAGGAAAGAGGACAGGTGAACTCTTTGAGGTGGCGGGGGAGGAGAGAAGGAGACCCTGGGATGGTGGTTCCTTGCATACAGGAACCAAATTTACATAGATCCACTTTCTGGGCCCAGGCCCACTCTTATGATGTTTCATGTGCCCACAGATGTACCGAGGTTTCACCAAGATGCCCCATGTGCAGTACATCCACACGGAAGCCTCTGAAAGTCTCTGTGGTCTTAAGCTGGAGGTCAACAAGTACCAGTACCTGCTGACAGGTAACAGCCAACTCTAGATAAGGTCCCAGATGCAATGCTCCCTCACCTGACAGATCCGCATATCTAGCTCAACCATGTTCTGAGGACTGTAGCCATGTGTCCCCTGAGAGCTTGAGGCTCCCACATTGAGGCTGGCTCTCAGCCTTAGCCCAGCACAGACCCTATGGAGCTCATAAATTAGTGGTTTCTTAGCTTAACTGTAAATGTAAAAAGGATTGCCAGTTCTGCTCCACCTCATGGTCAACCTTTTAGGTCTGTATTTGAGAGTTCTCCACTTTTAGGTAATCAGTGCAGTAAAGGAAAAAACTAGAAAATTAGGAGGGGAGCCAAGAGTTGATCTGTAGTCCTTGCTCCAGGACTTAATGAGGTTGGGAGCTTCTGCAAATCGCTTACCCTCTTAAGTTCATTATCACATGGAAAACAGTCCAGATGATAGTTCCTTCTAAAAGGTGCTGGGGAGGATGGCGGTCAAACCACAGGTCAGGCAGGGCTCTGACACAGCATGTCTCCCTTTGCCTCCTGTCCTCCTCCAGGTCGTGTCTATGATGGCAAGATGTACACAGGGCTCTGCAACTTCGTGGAGAGGTGGGACCAGCTCACTCTTTCCCAGCGTAAGGGGCTGAACTACCGCTATCACCTGGGCTGCAACTGCAAGGTGAGCCCCTGGGAGTGGGGGAGGGAGCTGCCCCTGGAAGCTTCAGCTCCTGCTGTGCTGGGCAAGGGGCCTTGTGCAGAGAAAGCATGTGTGTCCTGGGCAACAGGGTGGTAAGGAATGCTGTCCAGACTGGGCAGGGAAGAAGGTGAGAGGAATGCCTTGGCACCATAACTTGTCACCTTCATGATGCTGGGAAAAAAGGCTCTTTAGCATCCCTGCTCCTCTGGGCAGATCAGGGCTGTGGCAAGTGTAGGGTCCTTCCTTACCTTGATGGGTTCTGCCAACCAGTCCCAAGTGGGCCACTCTGGCAGGTCCCTTTCCCCAGGTGGGCAGGTTGACTTAGGCTCACTGACACCTGCTGTTGCCAAAGGTCTCTTTCACCAGATGTAACCCTTTTCCCAAGTATAGGCTAGGCCTATGGCTTTCTTTCTGCTGTGGGAGGGAGTTGGGTCACTCTCCCTTAGTCCTCAGAATAACACAGTGTGGTTTTAATTCTATTATGCCCATTTTACAGATGAGGAAATAAGAGACTCAGGGAGATTAATTAACTAGCCCTAGATCACACAGTGTGCTGACTCTGATTTCCAACCCAGGGCAGCTAGACTCCAAAATGTATGCTTTAATCTTTCTAATTCCCTAATTCCTTACAAGAGCTGCATCTAATCTACTTCTTACTGACTGTGTGACCTAGAGCAAGTTACTTAATCATTCTAAGCCTTTATTTCTTTATCTATAAAAAGGAGATAAAACTATAATCAGAGTTAAGGGGAATAACATAGATGCACAATGTACACAGCAGGTGCTCAATAGTGTGAGCTAGTCATTTATATCATTATGATTAAAGGGCTAATGTGGTTGGGCTCCCTCTGCAGTGATCCTGGAGCCTAACTCTCTAGAATGGGTCCAACATGGCAGAGTCTACCAACTGTTGCCTGTGATCTCGTTGCAGATCAAGTCTTGCTACTACCTGCCTTGTTTCGTGAGCTCTAAGAACGAGTGTCTCTGGACCGACATGCTCTCCAATTTTGGTTACCCTGGATACCAGTCCAAACACTACGCTTGCATCCGGCAGAAGGGCGGCTACTGCAGCTGGTACCGAGGATGGGCCCCCCCAGACAAGAGCATCATCAATGCCACAGACCCCTGAGCTCAGACCCTGCCCCACCTCACCTCCCTCCCTTCCCGCTGAGCCTCCCTCGGACACTAACTCTTCCCAGATGATACCAGTGAAATTAGTGCCTGTTTTCTTGCAAATTTAGCACTTGGAACATTTAAAGAAAAGTCTATGCTGTCTATGGAGTTGATTTGGAGCTATTCTCCTGGCCCCATCCTACCCCTTCTTTTTGGTTAATGACATCACCCATTTTTACCTGGGAATTTCTGGTGCCATGCCAGAAAGAACGAGGAATGTATACTCCCCTTCTTCGTGATATATAATCTATATTTTTTTAGGAAAACAAAAATTGAAAAATCTACCCCATTTGGGCATTGTAATAGCGACTTCTCTTTCTTCTTCCCCTCTCGGCCACCTCCCAGACTCTCCTTCCCTTGTCCTTCTCCTCTACCCCAGTATACAAAGGGCACAGACAAGGAAGTTACCTAAAGGCCAGCTGTTTCTGGATCAGTCAAGAGCAGCAGGCAGACAGACTCGAGGTATGCGGAAGATCTTATACATAGAGGAGATGCTACCGCATGTCCCGACCAGACTGTCTGTCTGTATTTGCACATCAGAGCGAGGGAGGGAAGGAACAGATCGCAGGAGTGGGTCTGAGATGACAGACACACACAGCTTCCCCAGCCTGGTGATGCTTGGGTTGACCAGATGTCTCTGGGTCTAAAGCAAGAAGTTAGACCAGAGTTTTCTGAGTTGGTCAAGATTTAAACATTTGCCTGAGGTTAGCAGGCAACTTGCCTGTCTGTACAAACGCTCAGGTGAAAGGCTGAGATGAATGTCTTTCTTCTCCCCGTCTCCCATAAGACATCCTCCTGGGAAACTCTGGCGGAGGTCAGGCTGAGAGCTTGCCTGTATATAAATTGGAGAAATACAGAAATACACACACTGTACACTATCCACAGATATAGCCAAGTAGATTTGGGTAGAGAATACTATTTCCAAAGTAGTGTTTAGCTCACCTGGGGGGATGTGTTTATATACACATTTGCATATACCCACATGGGGACTTAAGCTAATTTTTTACAGGACACAGAATTCTATTCAATGCTGTTAAATATTGGCAAATAGTTTAATCTCTTCTATTTTGTTGTTGCTTGTTTGAAGAAAACCATGACATTCCAAGTTGAGTTTTTTTTTTTTTCATTTTAATTAAAAGTTGAAATTCTGAATATCCTCAGCACCCTCTTTTCCCTATAACTGGGGTCATCTGACTTCTGACCTTTTCTTTTTCTTCTGCTTCCTATTTGGGGGGGGTCTTCACTTAACTGCCTTACTGGCTGGCAGATGGCAGATGGGCGTCAGTGTGGGTCAGGGGTTTGCACACAGGAAGGACAACTGCTGAGGGTCCTGCCTTGGCTGGATGGCCACCTCTCCTGGGTTTTGGGACAGTTTCTGTCCTTCCCAGCTCATTGGTGGGTGGATGCTACCTCCTGAGGTCTTCACTTCATGGAATTAGTATGGGTGGTCCCTGGGGAAACCTGGCTCAATCATCAGCTGTAGGGTTTTTGTTGTATTTTTAAAAATAAAACTATAATATAAATTCTCCTATTAAATAAAATTATTTTAAGTTTTAGTGTCAAAAGTGAGAAGCTGAGAGTAGTGATAATGTATATTTTACAGAATTGGGTATGGTAGGATGGTGACATTTAACATGATTGCTCTCTGTCTCTTTTTTCAGAATATGGGTATTTATCCTCTATTAGTATTTTGTATCTTCAGTTCATTCCGCTTTAGGAAACAGAGCTGCCAATTGAAACAAGAGAAAAAAAAAGTAGACAACAAGTAGATACACACATGTCTAGGCAAGGGGTTTGGCAGAACCCCAGAGTGGGAAGACAGTGCAGGTACTGGATTTCCTTGGGATGGATTTCACTACTGAGCAATGTTCCCCTGAGGTCCTGCCACTGGCAAGTGGGGAGTGGGGGGCGTGGCCCTCTCCATGGGGCTGTGTGAGCAGAGGAACTGAAGTCAGCAAGCCAGTGGTTTCTAAGGAGTGAGCCTCATACTTGGTGTTTGGGTTTAACATCACTTCAGTGTCAAAGTCTTGCAAGGTGGAGCTCCTGACCCAACCTGCACCAGTGCCTTCCTGCAAGTTCACACCAGCATCTCTTCTGTGAGGCATTTGGCTATTCTCAGGCCCTGCTGTGGTCACCCCACTCACGTGACGAGGAACTTGGGATGAGGTCTGAGCATGAGGCACCTGAAATTTCCCTGCAGAGTAAATCAGTTAGTGGAACCATAGCCCCATAGGCAAGGCCCTGATGAGAGGTCTTGGGCAAAGAAGGGTCTTTTGAAATTGATGTTGTCAGAGGGCGGTTTTGAGCTTTCTATAAGCTATAGCTTTGTTTATTTCACCTGTTCACTTACTGTATAATTTAAAGTCATTTATGTAGCTGAGACACTTCCATATTTCAATCATATTGTGAATGTTTTATTTTGCTAAATCTTGTGTCATGTGTAGGCTGTAATATGTGTACATTGTGTCTAAGAAAAAAAAATGAAATCCACATGTCGCCATTTTTCTGGCTCAAATTCTACAGTAGAATGGAGGGTAAAATACTTCTATTTGGGTGGGCAGCTAGACTGGCAAATCAGGAAACTGGAAGGAAGTCATAAAGGAGCCTCCTCCTTATTGGAATCCCAGGGGTTCCCTGAGTAGGAAGGAGAAGAAAAAGAAACTATGGCCGTGCCCTTGCTATGTATCAGCCAGCCCTGTGTCATACACTACTCACTCTCATTCCCTCTCCCCCAGGTCCTTTATCATACCCATTTGGGAAGCCATGACTTCTAAAATTCCAGGACTATAGGAATGATAATTATCCAAGTCTCTTCACTTCCTTTGGATATCTCTTCTGCCTCCCAATCAAGGAAGCACCATGCCCAGACTCTTGCTTCCCAGGCCCATGCTCTTCTATCGCCAGGGTGGGTAATACTAGGGAACCCCTGCTCTTTACTGGCCCCCAGCCCCTGCCCTGCTTCATGACAACTGAGCTTCAGCCTATGAGTACCATTTTTCATCCCATGTTTCTTGAAGCATAAAACATGGAATAGTTCTATCTAGGAGATACTGTGGTCCCCAGATAGTACCTTTCCCTGCCTCAGCCCTTCCCCCTCACCTGGTACATAATGATCAACAACGTAGACTTCTCCCGAGTGGTTGGCTCCTGGCTACCTACAGTGAAAGCATCACTAGAGTGTTTGTATCAGAGAGAAACACTATAAAAAATCTAATGCAAAAGCACAGCAAAATGGGACAATGGAGGGGAGGTGGATCGCAACAACTTTCAAATTGGCTCTTTGAAGATGGGGGAGGGGAAGACTCAGAGAGTGGTTATGCTCCACGGGCAGGGGCTTCTTAGATTCTCCCATGCTCCACTTTTCCTTTAGCCAGTCTGCTGTACAGAAACCCAGAAGTGATGGAGAGGAAACCAACCAGAGAAAACCCTGTCTGGAAGGAATGTATTTGTTGCTAAATTTTGTAGCACTGTTTACAGTTTTCCTCCATGTTATTTATGAATTTTATATTCCGTGAATGTATATTGTCTTGTAATGTTGCATAATGGTCACTTTTTATAGTGTGTCCTTTATTCTAAACAGTAAAGTGGTTTTATTTCTATCACACACCTACCGTCTCTTGCTTTGTTGTTCTGACTACCTTTGGGGTTATATAGAAACCAAGGGGCCTGGAAGTCTGTCCTGCCTGCCCACCTCCAGGTCCACGCACACACCATTTCTCCACCCACATCTACACACTGGGCCCCCCCTTGCTCTGGTCCTTTCCCTTGGCAGGAGGAATCTCAGGAGACGTGTCCTAAATTCCTTATGGCTGCTAAACCAGCTCTGACTTAGCTCCCTGATTCAGTTGCCAGGGTTTCCAGAATTCTGAAGGATCTGAATCTATAACTAATCACCTGATTAGTTATAGGAACTGATACCCATGGGTTGGGGCCTGACTCAGGCTTCCTTGTTTTCTTCCTGAGATTTCCATCCTGGTAGAGGGGAATGGGAAGGTCTGCAAACAGCAGTGCTTGGTGTCAATGACCTGCTTGAAATTCCAAGTGTAGCTCAGCCTGGTTGGGAATGCCAGAAACTCTTGAGGCCCCCCAACAACTGATGAGTCACTCCCAACACTTAGAGCCATGCCTGTACCCTCAGTGGGCTGCCCAGCTATGGACCACTCACCCAGCTGTCACTCCTCCCTCAGCAATGTTCAGGTTACAGCTTTTGCTCCCGTTTGAAAGGTTCTCTGCTCTGAGTGCCCATAATATTCCAGGCACAGCATTTTATGCATACAAGCACACAGTATCTCAACAATCTGGGGAGGCTTTTCCATCCTCCATGGGCTTTTTTTTTTTTTTTTTTTGAGGAAAACCAAGGTTAATGGAGATTATGTCATTCTCTGAGACCTGGCAAGTAGACAGAGCTGGGATTCACACTGAGGCTGGTTGAAGATAAACCTCAGTTTCTCCCTTTGTGTTCACATCTTATTGGAATGTGTGGGGTTTTATTTGTGCCTTTTCTGCTTCAACCAGCATGCTCTGGATTCTGTAACTCTCACTGGATCAGTTAGCAGGGAAAGGTGTTCATAGGAACCGCCTCCCTGGTAAGACTGCTCCAGCCTGGAGCCTGCAGATCGACTGGGTAGTGTTTCCAAACAGGGTTACCAGCTTAGCATCCTGAGCGGTGATTCGACAGTCAGGACACAGCTCCCACTTGGGATGATGGGATACCCTGTTCATTATCTTGCTCCCTGAGATGCATATTCCATGTAAGGCCAAGTTCAGAGCCACGGCCCTGCATTCCTTGAACTAGTTTAAGAGGACCACCAACCATGCAAGCAGATATGACATAGGCTGCTTCTAGCTGCTCAGAACTCTTCTAGCCAACTTCTGGCTGTGGATAGAGAACTTGCTCAAAATGAAGTTAACCTGCTGTTCTCAGGTACTTTTGGAATAAAAGGTGAAACCATGTACTATGAGCTCAGCCCCCTCTGCTTCCCAGAGACAAGTTCAAGTGTACTCAAAAGTTGGAAAGTAAGGAGAACACATAAGGAAATTGTCCTTCAATAATTAGCAATGTTCAATAAAACATTGCTGCTTTTATTGAATGAAGACTTTTCTTTTTCCTTTATCATCAACATGCCAGCACAGATTGTCCCCTAATTTGTTGATAATTCCCAAAGCTCCAAAGAATTCTGTCCACTTTTGTCATTTGCCCTATTGCCTGAATTTCCCCTGCAGAGATAATGCTTCTCCTTGGAAAGCCAGGCATTCCTGCAGGACATTAAGACTTTTTCTTAGAGTCCAGGCATCAGGGAATGACCCCTGAGCCCACCTCCTCCAGCCAGAGAGACTCAGGACACAGACATCTTTGTTCATCCAGCATCATGAAAATAAACTGAGACAAAGGGCACTCACCATTGGCTTGTGGTTGGGGAAAAATGTTTGCTCCACAAGTGGGAACTTTTCAGGACCCAGGGAATGGAAGATCTTGATGAGTTGAGAGAACTGGGAAGGAGAGAATATTAGTCAACCATTGTCACATTCTGTGGTGAAATAACCCACTTGATCTTGGGCTTCAGGCATCCCATTGTTCTGCACTGAGGTCTAGGAGATGTTCCCTGCTGATAAGAGAAAGCCCAGCTCCCCTGGCTGAATAATCACCCTCCCCATCATCTAACTGCAGCAATCCCTCTTTGTTTGCCCAAGACCTAGTAAGCAGGCAGCTCTTTGGGTTCAGCTCAATTGTGTGTAGTAGGCACTTACTACACCCTCAGCATTTCTCACAGGTCCTAGCCCACAACCTGATGTTCATGCCATCCCCCTGACTGCAATGCCTGCCTTCCTAAAGAAGCAGGACTGTGGGGTCATCTATGGTATATACTCTAGGTCCAGCCTCCCTGGGTTCAAATTCTTGCTCTGCTACTTACTAGCTGTGTAACCTAGGAGGTCACTATTCTGAGTTTCAGTCTCCTCACTTGTAAACTGGAGATCTCAAGAGATCCTACCTCATTGGATTGTTGTAAGGACACGATTTGTTACAAAAGCAGAGCCTGGTTCATGGGTACACTGGAATGTTATATGTTATTATAGATAAATATTTTCTCTGCTTTTATGATTCCACATGTTTCCACCAGCTTGGGCCATGTTCTGTCCCACTGTGTGCTTCTACTTCTGCACTTCCCTTATGGGCCATAGATTAGTTCCTGTCTCTACAGCAAGAGGGTCATTTCCATCACCCACCACCCAGCATCCTGCAGAGCTCATGTTGTGCCCAGCCCTACAACTCACTATTAAGATGAGCTAAGCCTGGCAGATGAGGCTGAGGGAAAATTGGTTGCAGCGCAAGGTTGAGATGCTGTTATGCTGGAAGGAAGCATGGGGCTTATGGCATCTGGAAGGGGACAGAGTGGGGAATCAGAAGGCTCCCTAGAGCAGATGACATAAAAGGAGGAAGGGCACTCCAGGTAGGCAGTAAGACCCATGTTGCTGGAGACCCTCACTGGCTGCCATGACTGTGGCCTCAGGTGCAGGAGACAGTGAGGAGGAGGTGGAGGGTGAACCTTCCATCAGGTGTCTTAAAAGCTGGACAAAGGAGTCTAAAATTCACTCAGAAGACAAAGGAGAGCTGCCAGTGGAGTCTGAACAAGAGAAGGAATAGTCTACAATTTATAGATGCCCAGTGTCAGAAGGTGGTCATGCCTTGCACCACGCTGACTTCAAACTCATCCTGGAGGGAGAGAATAGGGTAGCTTAGGAAATTCCAACTTCAGCCTGGGATCAGCGTATATTATTGGAGTGTAGCCTACAGGTCTAATACAACATGGAGTCAACTTGGAGGGCTTAGAAGACCCTAGAAATGTGGGAAATGAAGGTGGGGGGTAGTCCCTCATCTTACAGAAAAGGAAACTGGAGTCCTGAGAGGGAGAGTAATTCTAGAACTGAGCACATGGGTTTTAGAGAGGCTCAGTTTCACCACTTATAGCTATGTTGGCCTCAGTTTCCTCATCTTTACAATGGAGATATTAGCAATACCCACTCATTGGGTGGTTCTAATGATTCAACACAATCTACACACTGAGTCTCAGTGCAGGGTACAGTGAGTGCTAATGAGCTGAAGTTACTGCCCTCGTAACTACAGACCTTTCTTACTAGCAGCACTTGAATCTTAGAGACCATGAGCCAAATAGCTCAGTTAGGGCACAAGAAGACCATGGGGGTAGCAGTAAAGATATCTCTCTCTACCAAATTAATGCATGTGCTCATTCAACAGACGTCAAGTGCCAACTCAGCAGAGACTTATTTCAGGTACAAGAGACACTGATAACTGTTGCCATCTTTGAGGGTATACTTTGTGCCAGCCTCTGTGATACGCGCTTTACATGTATTAAATCAAAACCTTACTGGAATGGCCCTGTTATTACCCTCATTTTCTAAATAAGGAAGCTAAGTTCAGAAAGGTTGTGGCAGTTGCTCTAGGATACACAGCTCATAAGTAGAGAAACTGGAACTTAGGAAGTCCAGCCTTAGAGTCCATGCTCCTGACCACTGTCTTAAACCGCTAGCTGATTACAGAATGGAGACAACACAGGGTAGACCAGAGAGCTGTGAGCTTCACGGAGCCTGTTCTACACCCTCCTGAGCGTCTGCATTTCCTAGCCTCCTTTCCTCTTCTATTCCCGCACTCGTACTTATCATGGTCATATTACACACTTGGCATTTTTATTAGTATATGGCTTCTGCCTCGCTCAAAAGTAAGATCTACAGGGCAGGGATTGTTGGTTTAATTTGTTCACAGCTATTTTCCTAGAACAGTGCCTGGCACATAGCAAGTACTCAAAACATACTTGCTGCATGACAAAATTACTTCTCATAAGGGAGACGAATAATACATAAATGAGTGGATTTCATTCTCGGATAAACTTTTAGGGAGAACATAAAGCAAAGTAAAGGATTTGAGAGTACATGAGGGAGTGGAGGCTGGTATTTTAGGAAAAGCCTTTTAGAGGAAACATTTGGATGGAAACAAATCAAATGAATGAATAAAAATAATCTTAGGGGTTGCCAGAAGACCCTGACAAGTTCCTTAGTCACCCCAAAGCTGAGCAGTAAGATGAACGAATGATACCCACTTCACACAACAGTGATCAGATAGGCACCCTTAGCACAGTTCTCTGGTATATATAGTAAGTGCTCAATAAATGATGCCTACTGTTAAGAACATCAACGATGAGCTGATGGTACAGTGTTAAAACAGTAAGACATTTCTTTATGACTAGTATTATTATAACATCATACTGTATCATAGTGTGTTACTACATAATATTTGTTAGGCAACATTTCCAAGAGTAGTCCTGGGGATAAGTTGCTTAAATAAGGTTCTTTGTCCCTGTGGAGGCCTCTGTGCTGGGGAATGGGCCAATTTCAAGGTTTGGAGGCTACCCAATGCCTTCCAGTTCCCTCCAGGTCAACCTGGCCTGTCACCTACCACCCAGGGCTTGCTGCAGAAGTTGTAGACAGAGTAGAGAGAGTTGATAGCAGGTAGCCCTCCATACTGCAGGCCAATGACCAGGCTTCGGTAGTCCTCACCCAGGGCCATGCTGTAGGCATGCTGGCGGACCAGGATAAAGTCGGGCTTGAAGGATCTGTAGAGAGAGGGGTCAACAGCAGTGTCAAGAAAGGGTGCTTTGCTTACACACCATGGATTTTTGGTATAACACTGGCCAGGTGTGGTCGCTGCCTGATGGGTAAGCAGGGATGTGGATGAGGGTCAGATACAACCACGGAGTTACTTAAGTATAAAACTAAAGGACCAAAATCATCACGTACTTTCTCATGTTTACTTTTTAGGCTGTTTTCTAAAATTTCCACATTGACTATTTCATCATCAATTCAAAAATAATGTATCAAACAGCTTAGTGAATGGAGTATCTTGCTGGGTTCCACCGCATACGGAATGCATGTCTTCCCTGTGGTGAGGGCAACTCCCCAAGGAGGTGGAATTGTCAGCAGCTCCCCTTTCACAGATGTGTGCCCAGAGGCTCAGGAAGATCAAGTCACTTGCTCAGAAAGACATCCTACAGGTAAGCAGCATAATCAGGTCTGTGCAGATTCTTGGCTCTGGGTCTCAGCTATCTTATAGTAGGCTTCTTCCACAAAGATGTCAAGTCAAGTGTGTCTCACTCCTTCCAAGTAGCAAGGGTGACAGGAAATTAGCACGGGTATTAATGTGACGGCCAAGTGCAGGCCAGGCTCTCTGCAGATAGACTCCTGACAAATGCTCACAAATAGAGCTGGGCTAGGTCTGGGCTATTTCCCCCATTTTGCAGTTGGAAACACTGCAGCTCAGAGAAGCTATGAATTCCCCCAAACTGCAAGGCTGGGAAGTAGAAGAGCTGCCTTTGCACTTGGTCATCTGGCTCCAAGCCCATATGCTTTTTACTCTATCCTTGGTTTCTGGTGGATTTACACATTGTCTTACCCACACTCTCAAGGGGCAAGCTATTTCTGGGTTGCTCACTTCTGAGTCATACGAAACAATGTGTGAGGCTTACACTCAACATGGTACCATCAATCCACTTGACTCACTGAGAGTCAGATCCTTACCCTCAAAAAAAAGGTGTGTCTTTAAAATAATTCAAATGTAAATTAAAATAACTCTCAAAGCAAAAGGACTTGTCCCCATTGGAGAAAGAAGAAAAGAATGTGCTGCAGTGCAGATGCTTCTTAAGTCCTTCTGACCTTGGTCATCATTGTATACCCTACTACCAGACACCTCAAGTGCTGGTATGTGAACCTCACCTCCCCTCCCTGCCAAATAGATGGCCGGGGTCTCCTTGGCTAAATTGTAACTCATCTCAAGAGGGCCACTTGGACAGTGGCATCTTCACATGTCTGGTTCACAGTGTGCTTAAAGCAATGGCCAACCATAGCCACATCACTCTGTGGGTACGTTAGGATTAGGATCTTGGAATGACAGCAACAGAGACAGAAAAAGATAAGAAAGGATCTGATAGCAATAAGGAGCATTTACTTGCAATGTAACACCACTTTCTGCTTTTATCTGCTTTTATTTTTTAACTTTTAAAATCAGTATATAATAGTTGTACAGGGGGTTTCATTGTGACATTTCTGTATATGTGTACAATGTACCTTGGTTTGGTTCATCCCCTCCATTATTCTCCCCCTTCTTAAAATGATGTTACAGGTTTCAATGTTCCATATTCATACATGTACAGAAAATACATCAACCATATTCACCCTCTTTACCTACCTCATTTTTATTTTCCCTCCCCCTTCCCTTAACACGATGTGTCTTACACTCCTGTCCTTCATTGTTTAAGTGTCTGTTCATTGTTCGGTGGGGTCTTGCCTTGGTATCTTACCTTTAAATATGTTTACTTTAATCAGTCTAACTTCCTCTATCACTCTAAAAGTAATATAAAAAATCTCCTGGCATATACAAAGAAGAAAACAAAGTTCCCATGATTTCACAACTCAGAGAAGATTCCTAACAATCTTTATATGCACATTTTGATCCAGTGGTCTGTTTCACTGTACATAATACAAATGGATATTCATAACTGATTTCATGCTTTCTATTATGATTTTTAGAATTTTCCACATGTTATGCATAATCATTTTCCCTATATCAAAGTATATTCAAAATATGATTTCTGGTAACTATATAATAGTCCAGTGAATGATATGTCAGTAGGTCAATATATCACCTACATTATCCAGTAGACTATTTCCAATATTCCATACATGCACATCTTTGCACACAAATAAATGCCAATGTTCTAAAGTATTTCAAAAGATAGATTCTAAGAGGGACTGCTAGATTAAAGGATATGAGTTATTCTTAAAAGTGCTCCCTTTTAGTATGGTTTTATTATATTTTGAATTCATATATATCAATAATACATGGAGATTTCATTGTGATAATTCTATATATGTGTATAGTGTACTTTGAACAAGTTTCCCCGCTCCATTATATCCTCCCCTTCCACCCCCTTTTTATACAGTGTTTGATGTATATGTATATATACATATATTTCATTATGCTGTCTTTTTGAACATAGACATGTGGTATATTTCAGTCTTCTTGCCCCTCCCCTCCCACTGATCCCCCACTCAGACCATCCACCTTCCCATTTATGTCCTAGTATCATCACCATCACCATCACCATCATCATTTTAGGTCTAGGTTCCATAAATGAGTGAGAACATCAGATATTTGGGCTTTTGAGCTTGAAAAGCACCCCCTTTTTAGTGTATTTTCCCAATTTCAATTTTTTGTGGCACTGGGGTTTGAACTCAGGGCTTTGCACTTGCTATGCAGGTGCTCTATTACCCCCAGCCATTTCCCCAATTTGTTTTGAGAATGTTCTTTCACTGCAGCGTCACCAGTACTGTAGGTTTTGAACAACGTGTTTTTCAATTTGGACCCTGCATCTCACTGTCTATTTAGTTTGCATTTCTCTGATCCTAGCAAAAACTGAACACTTTTTATTCACCAGTTGCATTTTGTTTCCTAGAAAAGTTCACTCACTTCTTTCCTGCATTTAAACAAGTGGGGCTTTGCTGTGTGTTCATTCATGACAGCCATCTGTATGTAGGATGCTGCTTTTGCCTCTGCCTCTCACGGGTGGCAGTGTTTTTTACTGATGCTTGCCCTTCCCCCCTTAAATGGCTGTGCATCTATTTAAAAAGCACATAAGCATATATTTTCCACCCCAACCCGAGTCCAGTCTACCAGTTGCTGTGTTTTGATTTCTTTTTCTGTGTTGTTGCTCAGAGGGTCCTCTGGGCCTGGTTCTGACCATGAGGCAGAAGCACTCCCCTGACACTGTGGTTTTCATCACAGATGTAAACCTGGGCACCAGGAATCATACCACCTTTCTCTGCAGAAGAAATTAGAGGTCTCATGCTGGCCAGCCTCCTACTTTGTCCTTATTTGTGGAGAACTCATACTAGGTATGTAGTCAGGAAAAACAAAAAACAAAACCTAGAAAGAGGCTGCCCAGACTATCTTCTAAGAACATAATTCCTTGGCCTGTCCTGTGATGCTTCCACTCTGGTTTTATATAATATGGGGTTCTCTCTCCAGAGCTTCTAAAACCCAGCTGGGAAGTCAGAATCTTTCTGATTCTTTGAAAAAAGGCCAAAAGTCACCTCCTCTTTGTCTTTCAGTTTTAGAAATCTATCACAAGTTTCCACATTCAAAGTGCTCTACCAAAATTGTACATTACTCCCCTGTGTAATGCCCATCAAGAGCTCCCTTTTCTAACAACCGGCCCACAGCCTCTCATGATAGCTACAAGGCCCCTGCCAACCCTTCCATCCTCACCTTCCATCTCTCCCCACTCCCTTATCTCCATGCAAGAAACATGGACCACTTCTTTTCATCCAATTCTCCTCCCTGGATCTCTTCCCACATTGAGAAAGGGTACCCCATCCTCAAACACACCTATCCCAACTATTCTAGCACTTCTTTTCTTTTCTTTTTGGTTCCTGTGACAATTTGACTTGTCCTGTTTATTTATCTGCTTTCAGTCTGTCTATTTCCTTTAAAGATGTCAACTAAATGAGAAAAGGATACCTGCCTGTCTTGGACAAATTAAGCCTTACCAATGTTTTTAAAGGAATGATTGAATTAATGAATGTGTATATAAAGGAATGAATAAGTGAATTAACAGTAAATGGAAAAGGGAGAGACCTCTTTCCTTGTGGTTACAGAGAAGACTGTCTGATGGCCAAAGCATCCAGAAAATAACATGTGGTACTAATAACTACTGGACTGCTTTACAGCTGCTTTACACAGACATAAGTTCAGTATTTGTGGAGGAATGTTAGCATCACCACGAAGTTTTTAACCCTGGGGAATTCAAATTGGCACCCATGACCTCTTAGGATTCTCATATTCAATATGGAAAGAATAAGTACGTTCCATGTGTGATATATCAGAGCTGACCACACATGTGTACAGTTTGAATTTTGCCATTCATTGACTATGCAGGAGCCTTCCTGAAAGTCTGGGAAATGAGGGCTTTGCAAGGAATATAGAGAAGTAAGTGACTCAAGCTAGTTGATCACTGGTGTGCAGTTCCTTTCTTCAAACCCAGCATCCTGGGTTCTCTATAGAGCCAGGGGATGGTCAAGTACTGTATGTGTCACAACATCCAAGCATGTGATCCTCAGCTGTTACCAAGCTCTGAGAATGGGCCAAGCACTCTGGTAAAGGGTGATGATCCCTGCTGTCACAGAACTCACAACCCAGAAGGAGTTGGGTGTCATGTGTACTCAGCATTCACTAGATGAACAATTAAATAAGTGAGTAAGTGAAATAATAGAGGCATGGGCAGGGCACTAAGGTGGCTCTGTGGACCAGGCCTGGGTGACTCTGTATGAAAGGATTGGGTATTGAATAAAAAGTAGGGGCTTCTCCTGGGCAGGGGCCCGAGGGTATTCCATGCAGAGGGAATGGTGGGGTGGCCTGTGTTGGTTGGTCTTTTGTTTTGTTTTGTGTTTAATATGCTTAAGATTCTCTTTTCTCTTTTTGGCAAGCAGAGCCCATGATAAAATCCTCTCCAATCAGAGACCCACATTTCCTAGGGTAGGAACTGTTCTAAGAATTGAAACT